CTGCACACGCCTCCGCAGGCCAGCTCGCCGCACACCCCCCCGGGTGCCGTTTCTCCCGCCGCTCTGCGCCGCGGTCTGGAGGCCGTCAAAGCTTCCTCCTCGCTGCCGTCCTCTTCCTCGCTGTCCCAGCCGGGCGCATCCGCCGGCACGCCTCCCGCCTCCTCCAGCCCTCCGCAGGCCGCCGACGCACACTCCATCCCGCCCATCGCCCGCCGCCTCGCCCACCACCCGCCGCAGAGCCTGAACGTGGGCAAGCCGCTCTACCAGTCGCTCAACTGCAAGCCCATGCAGATGTACGTGCTCGACATTTCTCGTGCCAAGTCGGGCGGCGTGGTGTCGTGGCGGGCGTACGGGAGCGGCGGAGCGCCCAGCGCCATCACCGGGCCGCCCGAGACCAGCCTGCACACGGTGGTTCAGGGCCGCGGCGAGCTCATCATCTTCGGCGGCCTGATGGACAAAAAGCAGAACGTGAAATATTACCCCAAAACCAACGCCTTGTACTTCGTCCGCGCCAAGAGGTAAACACGGAGACGACTGCTGCCCTTACACTAACTTACCTTAAAATACAGCTCGACACATATAAAGGACACTCAAACATAGTTGTGGTTTCAGTTTCTGAGCGAGCGGATGATGTTTTTGCTATGTGCTCTGCGAGAGAGAACTCTAGAAGGGAATGCTTTATTGTTTCTGTCGCATCTCACCCTCAGAAACGCTGAAGGATACAGACGATTGAAGGAGGAACTGATGAAATGGACCTTTTTTACCGCTCTTTCGGCCTGCAATGTTTACATTAAACGCGTGTGTGTGAGTGATTGTGCTGTTGAGGGAGTGAGACTGTGGCTTGTAAACAGAAATAAAGTTCTCCATGTCTTAATTCTCTGAGATAATGTTGCGTGTGTTTTTATGATCTTGACTAACAGAATAAAGCAGTGCGGTTATTTACGACGTCACCTGACCTGCTCTTCATGCTACATTTTAACCTCATTATTGTTTTATTTTAGGTTTATACATTTAAAAGCTGTTATAATTGCAGGATGTAAAGTCAGAATTGCGGTAAGTCAAAATTGAAAAAAAAAATCTAAATTGTGAAAATGTGAAGTCTGAATTGTGCAAAAAGTTAATTAAGATATGTAAATCAGAAATGCAAAAGACATCAAAACTGAGTGTGTGTGTGTGTGTGTGTGTGTGTGTGCAGTAAGATATCAGTCCAACTACACTGTAAAACAATTCTGTCAAATTTACAGTAAAAAAACAGCAGCTGTGGTTGCCAGAATTTTACCGTAAAAAAATATGGTAGCAACATTTTAGGTTTTACGGTTTTAACTTAAATTTACATTTAAATACCGTAATTTCATTAACTGATATAATGTTAATATACCAACCTATTGAAGTACTGAAATCTGTTTTGTACTTCTGTAATACACTGATAATGTGTATACACTGATATTTCAACAAAAAAACATCAAATTTGAAATGTCAATTTACGGTTATTCGCTGTAAATTATACGTTCTTTTTCACTTTCCAAAAACGGTATACTACCGTAAAATGACATGTAATGTTCAATACAGTTTTTCACCGCACATAGTAGGGGAACTTACCATTAACCATTTAACCGGTTTTTACCGTAGCATTTTTACAGTCTTTTACTGTTAAATTCACGGTAATTTTTTACAGTGTAGTATGCACTTGGTTTATGATGCACAATATGTAGTGATTCTATACACCCCAACAAAAATCTGTAAAAATAGGGCACGATATACTGTATAAGGAATAGGAATTTTTCCGTATTTATTTTTTCTTGTACCATATTGATATAAAAATGCAAAGAGTAAGAAAATGTATTCCATTCATTGTACATTGCATTAGACATTACATTACATTACATCAAGGCTTCCCAAACTGGGGTTCGTGAAACTGCAGGGGGTTCGCGAGTTTAATGAAAAGCCAATAATTAATTAAATCATAAAAATGTAAAATTAAGGTAAATAATTTTAAAATAACAATGAATCAAAATAAAACCCTTACTGAAAACATGAAATATTGTATGTTTAGCTGCATGTCATGTGACCATTAACCCACGTCAGAGAACCCTGAACATGCAAATGTGATGCTTCATTATTAAAATATTTACTAATTTAGTGATCAAATGTAACACTCTTATGGAAATATGATAATATTTTATAATTATCATTTAAATCTGACTCGTTTTTAAACTGTTTGCCATAAATCAACATCTCAGGAAAATGTTATGGAGTTTCAAATAAAAATATGACTTTCTGTTACGAAACAGGACATCGACTTCATACATGCCCTCCTCATATGAGGATTAAAATGTAATCTACTCTAATTACAAGTACTTAATTGTTGGAATCGGGTTACACGTAATCCGTTACTAGCCAGAGTTCTGACGTCACAGTTACGGCTCCCGCTCGTGCGCACGCAGGGCCGCGAGATCTTCCTCCTCGCGCGCTAGCAGCGGACTTTACCTCACGCGCGGAGATTACACGACGCGACGCGAGGGCGCATATATGTGCATGAACGGGACGCGGACGACGCAGGATGGTTCGGGAGACCAGACACCTCTGGGTGGGAAATTTACCCGAACATGTTCGCGAGGAGAAGATTGTTGAGCATTTTAAACGGTGAGTTACACAAGCAGCGACGCGGCCTGGCGCGGACACAACCCGCCTCAGCGCGCGATGGCGGACAACCAGCGACGAAACGCCGACGAGAGCCGTTTAAAACACCGGAACGAGCCGCAGACGCGATTTAACGTGGAATTCAAAAACAAAGCGAATCCATCTCAGACTAGTTCGCGAACGTGATCAAGTTAAGCAGTTAGCTTGGCTGCTGACTAGTTAACGGTTTGCAGATGGATGTGTGGAATCTGTGCTAATTCTCACAGAAACCGTCCGTGTTTGGGTCACGCCTCGGGAAAAGTCGCATAAATCGCGGTTTCGTTCGGAGAACGGCGAGTGTTTGTGTCCGTGTTAGCGGTTAGCTCGCTGCTAACGCTGAGCCGGCTTAGCAGCGGGAACCGATTCCGTCCGAAGAAACAGAAAGTCGATCGAGAATCTGCCGTTGCGTGTAACACAATAACCGCTGTTTTCCTGAAGTAAAACGAAGTTCTGGACTTCCATTTCAGTTGAGTGAACTGAATTAGTGTACTGTGGGAAAACGCTAAAATGTTGTGAAATCGCTTTGCGATCGTAGTGTGACCGGGCTGCGGAGAGCGTCGAATCACGCTGGTGAGAGTGAGTACGTTTACACGGACAACAATATTCCACACGGTTAAGACAATACTACTAAGTTTAAGAATCTACTATGTAAACAGAGTTTTGATTACTTTAATCCGTAAGTAAGTAAACACAAATCGAATTAAGACATGTGGAGTATTCCTATTTTAGTCACATTATCGTAGCGCAGTACAGACATGTACTCACCTTAATCACATTATTACCATCGTGTAGAACCTTTCGCCGCAGGATACACATAACGGCAAGCAAAAGAGAAACGCCGTCATCTGTTGGCACGTATAGCATGCCAAAGAGTTAACTGCACTTGAAGCTGTCCTAAAATTAAAAATGAAACACCCAAAACTGTACATGGCACAATAACAAAGACAAACTATGCTGATACGTGAAACTGTGGAGGGGACGTCGCGTGGCGTGGGGATGTACTGACGTGTGCCATTAATAGATCTGTGTACTGTAACATGTAAAACAGGAACATGAAAGGATTGTTCTAAAAGCAACTCATGTCAACACCTTAATCATAATATTGTCTTATTCAGAATAAGGTAAATAATTAGATTACTGATGTCCATGTAAACATAAACTGCATCCCTATTGATGCACTATGCACTTATTCGGCATGTACTTATGCACTATATACTGAACCATGTAGTGTATAAATTATATAAGGATATTTGGTCATTCATACTTGGAGTCTGATAGCTCCGCCCCCTTCGCTATGTAATTAAAGCTGCAACAGTTGAGTGCATCAAGTGTCCAACATTCCACACTTAGTTTTTTCGGTTATATAAGTGCACTTTTTATTTTTGTAATTTTCAGTGTGAATGCACTACTCGCACTATACCACAAAACGTCATAGAATAGTGCATAAGTACGTGATTTGGGACGCACCTAATGTCATTGTCAGCTGTTAAACAAACATAAGGTCAAAAGGCCCGTTCACACCAAGCACGATAACTATAAAGATACAGTTCTAAAAATTTTTCTCAATATTAAAGAATAGCAGAGTCCACACCACAGCTATAACGATAAAGACAAAGAGAAACGATATCTTTGGAATCACTTTCAGAGCGATTTTTTTTCCAGCTGATGAACGATAAAAACATTGACAGCCAATCAGAATCCATCCTGCTGTAACGAGCTGGAGAATTTAAAGTGGCAGATGCGTGTGCGCTTAGAATAAACAGACGATATCGTCCTCTGGTGTAGACGCTAATATCGTTATCTTTATAGTTATCGCTCTTGGTGTGAATGGGGCTTAAAAGTTCAGAAAGTTAATTTTGACATTTAAAAAACACCACACTTCCTCTCAGGTTGACCTAGGGCTGCACGATAAATCGAAATGAATTCGCAATCACGATTAGGCAAAAGTTGTGATAGTCATGCGCATCTCATCAGTGAAGACGACTATGACAATATATGGTTTATCTGAGTTCTTCTTCTTATTATGTTTATTATAATAAAGTATATAATAATGCAATGCCTTTATTGCTGCTTAGAATGTTATGAAATATGTTGCGTGTCTTATTCTGTGTAAGAAGCCACATCATCTCACAGAAGGATTTATTTCAAATACTCGACTGACGTTATGAAGTGAGTTTGAAGTAAAAACGCACGTGATGGAGATTTACTACTAATCACAGAACCGTCTTTAGTGACAAGGTACGCATGATACGCATTTGATTAATCGCGCAGCCCTGTGTTGACCTGTAATGTGGCCGACGATCACATGACCTTTACAGCGCCTGGTTTCTTCTTCTTCACAGGTATGGCCGGGTGGAGAGCGTCAAGGTCCTGCGCAAGCGCGGCTCCGAGGGCGGCGTGGCGGCCTTCGTGGATTTCGTAGACATCAAAAGCGCCCAGAAGGCGCACAATGCCGTCAACAAAATGGGGGACAGGGACCTTCGCACAGATTACAATGAGCCGGGTTCAGTTCCCAGTGCCGTACGCGGTCTGGAGGACCCCACCCCCTCTAGCAGTCACGGAAGGGAGGTTGCAGGGTTCTCGAGGAGCGCCGTGGGGCCGGTGTACGGGCCCCCGGTGTCTCTCCACACCAGAGAGGGGCGCTATGAACGCAGACTAGACGGGTAAGTGGACACAGGCTCCCTCTGCACTACAGGGGGACTGTGGTGTCAGATACAGGGGTTCAGGTTGGGTTAAACACAATAGACCAGATTCTAGGGATCCCTCTCCGTTCTGAGGCCTGACTTCCTGCACACGGAATTATTAATCCTTGTCTGTCGTGTAAGAATGAGTGGATTAGATTGGTGTGGGATTACTGTGTGAGCCATAGCCTTCGTCTGAGTTGGATATTACCCACGTGGAGAATATCCCGGTCGGTTTGGATATTACGATGGCTGGCGGAGACGTAACGGGTGAGTTTGGATATTAGGCGTTCGACGAATCTCGGATATTACCCCGCCGCCTTGGAACAGCGCTCTTTGGAAGTATGTGCCGATGACGGATTAAACGCAAGGTTTTTAACCGGAACGTAGTTACGAGTTGTCGCAACGCTTTTTGTCCCTTCTCATTTGCCTTGCACGACTATCCCATCACCCATTTGGTCATTGTGCTAACTGTCTGTCATGCCGTGGATGTGTATCACTGCCGTGGATTTAGGAGCGGAGTCACGCGCCGCTGGAGCAAGGAGTAAGTGTGTCAGGGTTCATCATCTCCATCCTCCTTGTCACCGCACGTCATTCTTAGAGACCACGTGACGCCCGCGCTTGGATACCTTTACGAAGCCTCGAAGACCAGAAGACGTCGTCACGGGAAGATTCCCACGGATCTAACCTCATGTTGGATGTATAGGTGTAGATCTTTGCTGGATTACCTGATCTCCAGTGGATCTACGGTAGACGTCATAATGTGCTGGAATTACGTTTTTGTTTTTTTCGTCCCGCAGAGCTGTGTTTTTGTCGTTCGGATTATTCCACCGGTGGACAGCTTTGTTTTATTCCTTTTGGAACATTCTTTTTGGAATATGTTCCATTTTTCTAGACTGTTTTTCCTGAAGTCTCCTGTAGTGCCTTGTGATGGATGGCCTGACGCTGACGCGACCCTCTTTGGACGAAGAACCTTTTTGCTTAGTGGGACTGTATCGCCGTGTTTTTCCCCCTTACGCCATCGCTGTTTTTGGCTCACACAAAATTCCTCCTGTATTGTATTGGGAATATTTAGGGTCAGTTACTGCTCTGAAAAGGTTGGTATTGCCCTGCCTTACGCCTCTCTGTGCTTTCTCTCTCTAACCTAGACATGCACCCTGTCTCTTAACCCCTGTTCTTCACTAACCCTAGAGCCTTGTGCTATTATTAACCCCTCTGTCCGAGTGTTTCCGCTCTTCTGTCTGATTTCCCCTCCAGTGTTCAGAGCCAGATAGCCAGCATGGTTCATTCGTCCAGAGTTAAACGTTCAGCGAATCACTGCATGATTCGTTTAGAAGCGCGTTAGAGCCTCAGCCAAGTTCAGTCTACCAGACGCGTGCTTGTGATTTCGCTCGTTAAATTGTGGCTCCGCAACCTGGCCCGCTAGGTTTTGGATGACGAGGTGTACTTGAGTTCCTGTGTTAGGCGTTTGCCATGGATCCGGTCCGATTCTAAGTGTGTATGTTCCCTTTTCTGTTGTGTCTCTTTCTGTCTCTCTCACAGCAGCGGCTCGGACAGTCGGGAGCGAGCGTACGATCACAGTCCGTATGGACACCACGAGCGCAGCGGCTCCTTCGACCGGCCGCGGCACTACAACACGGAGTATTACCGGGACCGCGCGATGTTCACCTCCGGGGTGAGCTCAAGCCCGGCTGCCAGTGCTATCAGCGGTGGCTTCGACGCGCCGGAGTCACACTTCGAGTCTCGGATTCGTGACCCTTTCACCATCTCCAGCTCGGCTCGGCGCGACCCGTACCGTGACGACAGGGGCCGCCGCACAGACCGGACGTACCACCATCGGCGGAGCCGGTCCTCGCACTCTTCACAGTCACGGCAGCCGTCGCCCCAGAGGAGTGCAGGACAGACTCCTAAAGCCGCCCACTCGCCCAAAAGAGCCCCTGTGTCGCCCGGCCGGGGCCCGCGGTCATGCTCGCGCAGCCCGTCTTCCAGCTCCGATTCGGTCAGCAGCACCAGCAGCACCGGCAGCGGCAGGTATTGTACACTCATTTTTAACCAGATTTGGGTTTTTGTTATCCCAGGTTAAAAAAAATCACACTTCCATAATGTACTTGAAGTGCTCTATTTTCATGCACTAATTTTGTACTTAATATACTAAAAATGATTCTTTAGTACTTCTTAAGATAAACTAAAGTGTACTCAACCGTGCTACTCTGGGACACGGTGAATATGAACCAAAATGTGCTTTTAACACTAGAACTACCAAGGCAGTCATTTTGACTGTTTTTAAATTTTAAAATGTAATAACTTTGTTGAAATAAAGCCCATACAACTATAATACCCTGACTTTTCCTAAATGTGTTTATATTTTATTATGACATTATTTTATTAAAATTACAAAACACAAAAGAGTTCACAAAAGTTTCTACCTTGAATGGCCAAAGCGGTCAAATTGACTGTTCGCATTACAGACGGCACGTAATTTCTGCTTTTGCGATTCTTTTCCCGCGGTTCAAGATGCAGGTCACTGTTACCTAGCAACTTTTGTTCTAGTTGTTTTTATATTCTATTACTATGCTAAAATTCCCGTTTGTAAAAAAGCCGGGTGGACGCCTCCAATACAACAGCTGCTGTCATTCAATCTGCCACGCAGGTATGTTATCAATAATAGCCTACTTCAATGTTATGACAAAATAGCCATCATAATAATAATAATGGCTATTATTATTTTTATGCTAGTGTAATGCTATAGCTAATGCATGGTTTATTTTAGCCCTGACAAGACTGATATTGTGAAATAAAACAAACTTAGGCTTTGTTTTAGCGACAGTGACGATGTTTATTATTACCTATGCTATCATAACAGATCCATTTATTCATGGATCACGATTCCAGTGGTGGCTGCATAGAATTGTTTCTGATTCATCTGATCCAAACATCTCCAATAACTCCAGAGCGTTGTAAAGTTCAAAAGTAAAAACGTATTGAAAAAAGATGTATGTAATCATTTCCAAAATTCACAACATGTTTTATCTACAGAAATATTCTGCTTCGGTTCATATTTGTTGGCGTTTAGACTTTCAAATACAACATTTTCACTGCGGTGAAAAACTTTTGCTCTACCGCTTGCCGGACACAAACGAGGCACGCACATTCAGGAGCGGTCTACGTAGCTCTTACACAATTATATATTACAAAAAATATTGTATTTTTAGGACGATTACGTCATAAACTATGATGACAGACATTCATAGCTTCATTGTAAAACCTCGAAAGAAGCTTCGAATATAAATATGATAGGACAAAAATGTCATTCAGTTCAGTCTAGTATGAACGATCAGAATGACCGCTATGGCCATTCTATTCCAGTAGTGCTAGTGTTAACATACATCTCTGTATTTAATAAATGTATTTAGTCACCACTTGAGTGTACTAGTGTGTGAAAGATGTTGTACTACAAGTGGTGACTAAATACATGTTTAAATACAGAGATAGTGTGTTAAAAGCACATTTTGGTTTATATTCATGGTGTCCCAGAGTAGCACGGTTGAGCACACTTTAGTTTATCTTAAGAAGTATTAAAGAATAATTTTTGGTATATTAAGTACAAAATTAGTGCGTGAAAATAGAGCACTTCAAGTACATTATGGTATTTATTTATTTATTTATTTTTAAACCTGGGATAATATTCTGTAGGATATTTAGTCAACTGAATAATATTATTATGTAAAAAATGTAGTATTCTATGGAGTACACTTATAATGTTACTGTCATTTTATACTTGGATTCTCTTTTCAAAATAAAACATGAAACTTGTTCTTTGCATGCAGAGTAATAAATAGTTTAAGTACATTTTGCAGATAGTTCATACTTTTACTTTTACAGTGTGGTATTAGTACTTTACTTGAGTAGATGATCTGAATAATACTTCCACCACTGTTATTAAGTAGCTAAGTTAGCTAGATGGAGCGCCCACCAGGTTTTCCCGGGTCTGCACATGCAACAAGTGGGCGGGCATAAATATGCTAATGTTTCATGTTGACGTCAACGTGAAACGGCTAAAGATTTGTTTTAAAGACTCGTTTCAGTGACTCAGAGTCGACTCTTTCTTTTGAGAGATAATAACTTTATATACGGTGCGCTTTCAGATTTAAAACTTTGCAGGATGTTTTCATTCACTTAGAGCCGTGTTACACACTGCATGAAAGGTCATTTTCAGAAATCCATAATAGGGGCACTTTAACAGAAACGAATAAGATGAGTCATGGCATACTGTATTATATACAGACTAATAAATTACAGAACGTTTAGCAAACACTGAGGAATCAAATAAAAAATAAATAAATAAAAGAGAGCCTCCATAGCGTAACGTGAGGTAAACAGCAAAGATAACAGCTTTTCAAAACTGAAACAAAAAGAAAAGTAAAACTGAACATGCTGTCAGTGACAGCGCTGCATGTTTTTCCCCCCACAAGAATACCAACATGTTCACCTTCTCTGGTTTAAGAAGCCGTCTTTACTTTACTTTAGCTTGAAACCCATCCATCGTTTTCCTCCGTATTCGCGTAATTTTTGCTGCGCGCTCGTGACGCGGCGAGTATAAACCAGGCTCTACACTCGAAGCGCTGCGCAGCTCAAACAAGTAGCGCAGTTTCGTTATGCTTTCAGTTTCGTTTGCTGTTTGATGTTTCTCATATGCAACAGAAATGCAGCGCTTATGAGTTTAACAACGCGGTGGTCGCGCCAGTGCGACCGCACACAAAATCTAGTCGCACAGGCAGAAAAATGGTCGCAGTCTGGAGCCCTGCAAGGGTGCCAATATTAGTGGAGGTCACTGTATAATGTTATAATGTCAGTTTGTAGTCATACACTTAAATCCCATACATTACAAAACAATATGTTTTGAATACAGTCAACACTTCAGTATGTGTAAAAGCACACATTCGTTCTAAATGGACATCTCTCTAGATAGCATTGGGTTTGTTTGTTGTCCACTGTTAGTGGGTGTCTTCGGTTCATGGCGTATCTGCTGCGGTGGGTTTCTCTGAACCGGGTTCTTGTCTTGTTTTCTTTCAGCAGTGATTCGAACAGCAGCTCCAGTGAAGGGTCGCGAGCGCGCTCGGTGCAGTCGACGGCCACACACGCTCCTCCGGCTCCTCCTGTGCTCGCGCTGGACTCCGACGAGCCGCGGAGGAGCTTCGGCATCAGAGTCCAGAACCTCCCGACGCGATCCACAGGTGACCGCTCACTGCTCGCCGCAGACGTGTTTCAGTCTCATTTCACAGAAGCTCAGTCCACGACAAAACAGTCAGGCATTATTGGTGCTCTGTTCATAGTTTGCTCATTTGTTGTTGGTGATGGGAAGCATGATTACGGGTTTGACATCTGAAGAATTAGGATGGCCAGCCTCATAGAAATTGGTGGAAACATAGACAAACTAGTTCCCTTCGAGTCCCAATGATTGAGAGTCTCCTCATGTACAGATATTTGGAAAAATGTAGACATGTAGGTTGTTGGATTCCTTAAAGGGTTAGCTCAGCCCAAAATAAAAATTCTGTCATCTCATGTTGTTCCAAACCCATAATAATTTTTTTCATTTTCAGAACACAAAGTAAGATATTTTTAATCAAATCTGAGAGATTTCTATCCTTCCATTGAAAGTTGCCCAAAACTGATGCTTCAACATTTTATAAAGCTATTAAATCAAAAAACAATCCATGTGAATAGAGTGGTCTTTTGAAGAGACACCATCGTTTTGTACCGTATTGGCCCGAATATAAGACGACCCTGATTATAAGACGACCCCCACTTTTTCCAGATGTACCTTTTGGAAAAAGGCTTTTTAAAAAACAAATCTTGTTTTTTCTCAGTAAAACACATTTTGTCTTCAATTATTTTCATATTGCATATTTTTCCTATTTTTATTTTTGTTTTGAAAGTATGGTAAAAACTGGTAAAATGTACCAACAATCACATTTAAAAAATATACACTTTTTGATATACCATAAAATTAAAAAAAAAAAGGTAGCCCATCTGAAAAAAAAACAAAAAACAGGTAGCCCATCTGAATTAGGACATTTAGGCTATCCATCTAATAGTAGCCTACCAAAATCTTATTAAGAGTAGAAGTTAAATCTTACTGTAGTCTTCAAATCTGCGTACTGTCTTGCGTTTTAAAATCACAAAGGGAGTTTGTTGCCATCAGGCTAACGTGACAGTCATGCCTCATGCAGCTGTAAGGTTTTCTTTCTCTTTTGTTTTTACTCGCGATATTTACAACACGCATTACATTACGTATTTCATGGCACACTCGTTTTATGCGTATTTGGCGCCACCTAGTGTTGTGGGTGTATTATTGACATGTCAAAGTCTAGACCCTGAATATAAGACGACCGCGTTTTTTCAGATGTATTTCCAAGAAAAAAATATCGTCTTATATTCGGGACAATACGGTAAACACAGGACTACGACAATATATCATTTATCTGAGTTCTTTTGATCATTTTCATCATCATAAAGGATATTTATAATGTAATGCTAATCGACACAGCCTTTATCACTGCTTGGAAAACTATAAAATAATATGTTGCGTGCCTTAGTCTGTGTAAGAAGTAGGGCTGGGCGATATGGGCAAAAATTCATATCTCTGTATTTTTTGGCCAATTTGTGATATACTGTATATATCTCGGTATTTCTGTTTTTGTATCTGGATTTTTGTTTTTTTAAAATCTTTATTTAATATATATTTTGCATACCGCCCAATGTTGTCCAACGAAACAATACATATTAAAGGCTATGAAAACTAATAAAGTGAATGTAACCGTGTAAGCTTATATATTTTGTGCAAAATCGTATTTCATTCTAACATTGTAACATTACACTCTAAAAACAAAAATAATGCTTTTAAAGCAGAAGTTAAAGCTAGCTTACTAGACTAGATGCGCGACGCTAAACAGCGCTGTGAGATCCAGTGTGAAGCGCTTGAGTTCAGCGAGGAACAGATGAAACCGCACTGACAAACACTGTGCGCAACCATACAGTCAGAAGACTTTCATCTACAAATCACCATCATTTACCATAGATTTACTGTAGTAGCACTAACCAGAACTGTGGGTATTCCTGTTGAATTTTGTTATATTATTAATGTAGACATGTATTAAATGTATTGGAGTAATGGTATATTATTACAGTATTTTTGTGATTAAGCTATGGCGTTTATGCATTAATACTAAATGTATTTAGACTACTGTTTTTCATTCAAATATATAAAAACCATATTACATTTTTACCATGTTATTGAGGTGCTATATATGTGGTTTTAACTGTGATTATCATGATCTAAATGTATGCTACTATGGAAGACCAGTGGTTAATAATAATAAAAAAAAACTCAAACAGTCAGAATAATTAAATCTCACCATATAAAAATGAGGTTGCTACAGTTTTTACAGATATTACTGATTTTGATCATGAACATAAATCTAGATCTGCATCTTAACTCAAACTACTATCAAATGTGTGTTTCTAAGAGACAAAATTTTAAATTATTATTATGTAATTTTTCTATTAAGATATTTATTTGTTAAGGAAAAGTGACTGGAAAAGTGTAAAGAATTCAAAAACGTTAAGTGTTTGTCGTGTTCTGACCATAAAGTATAGTTTAAAACCACAATGAACCATCTGGTTTTTAGGGTTGGGTGCCGGTACCGATGTAACCGGTATGTACTAGAACCGAATCCGAGCGCAGATCTCGGTGCCTCATTTCGGTGCCACTTAAATGCCTGAGCAATCCATTGAAATATTTGTCCTGGTTCTCTGAAATGGCTGTAAGAAGCATGAGTCAGAATAATTAAATCTCACCATATAAAAATGAGGTTGCTACAGTTTTTACAGATATTACTGATTTTGATCATGAACATAAATCTAGATCTGCATCTTAACTCAAACTACTATCAAATGTGTGTTTCTAAGAGACAAAATTTTAAATTATTATTATGTTCAGGCAACACAAACCTGTTTCTTGATTTGAAACAATATTACTCATTTAGAACATGCAGAACTAAGAAATATTTTTTTATTATTTATTTTATTATTTATTATTAATATTTATTTTAAGGAAAAATGACTGGAAAAGTGTAAAGAATTCAAAAACGTTAAGTGTTTGTCGTGTTCTGACCATAAAGTATAGTTTAAAACCACAATGAACCATCTGGTTTTTAGGGTTGGGTGCCGGTACCGATGTAACCGGTATGTACTAGAACCGAATCCGAGCGCAGATCTCGGTGCCTCATTTCGGTGCCACTTAAATGCCTGAGCAATCCATTGAAATATTTGTCCTGGTTCTCTGAAATGGCTGTAAGAAGCATGGGGCGTCGCTAGGCCATTTTTAGCGGGGCTATAGCGATTAGCTCCGTAAACTGTACACAAACTCATGATCGCCTCAGAGTCAGTCCCTTTTAAATTTCTTATGAAAACGGCGGCAGACTTCGTCTCCTCCCCGTCTTTCAGCGCGCTCTTCAATCCGCAGACCACGGCGGCGCAGCGCGAGCGGACTCAAACAGAATCCGAGGACACAAGGTGTGTTTATCGATAGATTGTTATAATATCTGTATCTGTGCGGTTCTTTGCGTGGCCGTGGGAACTAGGGGTGCTGAGGGTGCTACTACCGCTCTAGCCTCTGGTCAAACGCGCTCAAACCACTGTAGCCTCATCTGCACTTTGTTGTTTCTGAGAGAATTCTCCAAAGTGCACTGACCAAAACTTTTGCTTATCAGCATTGATAATATCTAGTAAAATCCCCTTAAATAATAGAAATATTAAAGAAAAAATTCTTGAACTAAAATCACAAAAGCACAAATATATATTGGTTCAGTTTGGGCTGTTTAATATTAGGATTTTTCCAAAAACCCCCCACCATGGCCCCGCCCTGCAACATCAAGCCCCACCCCCAGCACCCCCCACATAAAATGTTCCCACGGCTATGGTTCTTTTTCATAAATACAGTTTACAAAAGGTCACGAGGAGCAATCTGTTTCCCATCTACTGTACAGTTTTCGCTGCGTTCACCGCTCATCACACCACAGCTGTTTCCTCCAGCAGAAATCTAGCCCTTAACACATATGAATGCATACTTTATAAAACGATCATGTTGATATTTTCATTTGAAAATGTAATATTTAATATAAAACATATTACATTGCATGTGGCATACCATACAGTCATTCACAGAACTGATTACAGACAGTGACAGACAGCACTCAGTCAATTCACTGATTTTAACTAAATATCAGAGTGATTGACAGAGATACAGTAGAAACATT